TTTTTTTTTTTTTTTTTTTTTTTTGCTCTTCACTTTTTTGGCGAAAATCCCTAGCAAATCGAAAGAATTTTCTCCGCGCAAAACCTCAGGAAATTACAATAAAATCGTTTTTATCGAAGTCACTTTTTGAGGCGAAAATCCCTAGCAAATCGGAAGAATTTTCTCACCCAAACAAAGTAAAGAGCTAAAAAAAATAAAATGTCTTACATCCGTAAGATGAACTTTTCCGCACTGTGATCCACGACATGCATTTATTACAAATCTTTTACTCGAAGAATTCACGAGAAAACTGAATCTGACATTAATTTTACGATACAAATAATTTTCGAAGCACTTTTCATACAAAAACTACTAAAAATGGGAATTTTTAAATCGCAGCCATGCCTATATGATATCGTATTCATGTGAAAATTTGCAGAGGTTATTTTTTTCACAAAAAGTTAACATTCTGAAAGTTTGAAGAAATTTCAATGCATATTAAGGCACACTTCCCATACAACATTTCGTTTTTGAGCGAAAAATCCAAAATTTTGTTCAGGAGGTACCCCTAATATGCATTGAAATGTCTTCAAACTCTCGGGATGGTATTTTCGTGTGATAAAAATAACCTGTGCAAAGTTTCAGCTCATTACGATATCATACAGGCATGGCTTCCATACAAAAATCCAAATTTTTTGAATTTTTTGTATGAAAAGTGTTTCGAAAGTTGATTGTATCGCAAAACTAACGTCATATTCGGTTTTCTCGTACCCAAAAACCCCCCAATACACATTTTTGAGTGTTTAAGAATACATTAAATATCACTTTTGGAAGAAAAATTGAATTTTTCCCATGGATGGCCATGGGCATCACACCAGACATGACACTTTACCCTGTCAACCAAAGTCGGTCAAAATCTAATGGTTTCTATTCCTCGGCACCCCCAATCATCCTGTGAAGTCAGATTTTGAATTACTTTTCTTGTTTGAAAGTTATCGTGTTAACAAATTTTTGCGTACAGCGTACAGGGTACAGGGTACAGGGTACAGGGTACAGGGTACAGGGTACAGGGTACGCACATACATTCGGACATCGAAAAAACGCTAGATTCGTGTTCCCTGGCCCCAAAAACACCCAGAAAACACATTTTTTATGGGTGTTAATTTTTCGACCGATTCCAATACTTTACCTTACACACTAG